AGCAGAAGTGATGACCTGAGTATTGTTACAGAACCCAAAATACCCTGGTTGTAGTAGTAGTGTTTTTATAGTGTTCATGCCTTTTAATATCATTGTCATTCTCCCAGTGAGAAAAAAATATGTTAAGTATAAAACAGTCAAAATTGGGGGAAAATAAGAAGATAAATGGTAATTATTTGAGTCATGCCTCTGTCATGTCAGAATATGTTGGTTAGAAATCAAAGGAAATTGTATTATCAGATACAAACCCTGATATGAACATCTGGGCAGGGTTTATGTGTTACTATTTATCCAATCCAATTAATTCAACCCCCAAAAAAAGTATTGAAGCACCTACAACATGATTTTGGAAGAGGATTTCATTTAATCTTAGTTACCACTGAAGAAGAAAAGAACTATGAAATATCAAGGCAAAGAGAACAAGAATTCCCTTCACTTTTTTTCAAATAGGAATTTATTTACATTAAAACAAATAAACATTTAGTGAATGCCCATCATTTTGCTAGTTATGAATGTGAAGGGTTGAGCTTTCAGAATGAATCACATGTTTTTGGAGAGCCTAACAATTAAGTGCAGTGGTGGTTGTGAGGCGAGCAGAAACAGATAAGTTATGAATTACTGTAATGATAATACAGGGAAAACTTTACTCTTCCTTAGATACTCAAGAAAACGTGAACTTTAGCTGGCTTTTGACATTCAGTCTTGGCCAGTGAGAGTAGGAACACTAGTCTCAATATACCGACCAGGCTGGCAGCTAAAGAAAACACTCACTTCTAAGCAATTAAGTGAGGCCTAGAGAGGGCATTCTGCTTTTGGGTATATGTCTCCACTCCTACAGAATTACTTTTTTTTTTTTCAATTGTTACATTTTTATTGCAGTAATTTGATTTTAAATAGTATTACCATTTAACAATATAATGCAAAATATGCCCATGGGAATAGTAAATTTTTTTTTTTTGCATTTTAGGTTTTGGGGTACATGTGAAGAACATGCAAGATAGTTGCATAGGTACACACGTGGCAGTGTGATTTGCTGCCTTCCTTCCCTTCACCTATATCTGGCATTTCTCCTCAACTCCCCACCCCCTGCTGTCCCTCCCCTATTCCCCGCAACGGACCCCAGTGTGAAGTGCTCCCCTCCCTGTCCCCATGTGTTCTCATTTTTCAACATCCACCTATGAGTGAGAACATGTGGTATTTCATTTTCTGTTCTTGTGTCAGTTTGCTGAGAATGATGGTCTCCAGGTTCATCCATGTCCCTGCAAAGGATTACTAAAGACCATAATCACAAATTATTTACTAAGCCAGAATTGTTAAGGATAAAGAACACTATCATGAATTATTCCCTCTTTAATTCTCAAGTTTATGTGCATCAAAAGGTATTTCTTATGGCTGCATGGAAGAAGAATAGGTATGTGTGTATACATCCATATAGACACTCTAAAATCCAAATGAATCTTTGAAAATATAAATGAATCTTTATTCTAATCTCTTGGGAGCTCGCCCCACATTTCCTTCAATCTTGATGGATCTCATGGTTAATTTTATAAGACAAATTCAATACATTGCTAATGAATTTAAAGCATACAGTATTAAAACTCCAAATAAGTGCTCACTATATAGCTTTTGAGTAAAGAATGTTCCGAAAAGTCAGAGAGGGAAAATATTTGATTGTGTGAAACTTGAACCATTCAGTTTTGGGAAAGTGAAGATTGATTCCATTGCCATTATTTGGTAGCCTTTTGCCTAGATAAAAGTTGGCAATAATTTTAGTTTGCTTCACCTTATCTTTCCCATTCATGCAATCCCTGACATTTAATGAAAGCTAGCTGCAGCAAAAATTCCCAGGAGCAAGCAAGTACAGAATCTAGTGAAATTGACCCACAGTCAATTTTTAGAGAGCTGATATAAAGCAAGTTAACGATGCCCTCTGTGAAAAATGCTGCCTCGGCAGTTTATTTTAGGGAAATAAAGAATTCTGTAAACGGGAATAACATATCTTAGGAAAATCCTTACCACTGTTTATAGAATAGTCCACAGAATGTCAAACACCAAATAAAATGAAAACATCAGATAGTTACTATAAATACATGACCTATATTCAATTTGAATCTTTAAACTCTTCCAACATTTTTTCGCCATTTGTTTATATGCTTTTCAGCATTTTTAGTTTTGCAATTCTAATTTATAAAAATATCATAAGCAGGAACGTTTTTGAAAGATGAATACTATCATTTTTACATAAATATTGAGAGTTTATATACCAAAAATTTCTTCACATTTTTCACAAAGATTTCAAGATTTCTGCAAACCAAACTTTTAAAATACTGGAAGCAATCCCTATTTATCAACTCTGTAACTGAATATTCCTTTGTCTGAATTGCTCATATTTCTGTTCAGTTGTCTCGTTTCAAGACCTACTGTGATTTAAGCCAAATGAAATGAACATTAGCTGTAACTTATTGAATCTTGGTAATGTTTCTCATGAGCAGAAATGCATATTGCTGCTTCCAAACAATTTTTCAGAATACCTGCCTACTCCCATTTTCATGGACAAAGAGGGATGGGGACACAATGCATTATGCAGTACAGGAGATAGCCTGTGAGTTGGAATGTTATTGTACAGAAACATATTTTATAGCTATGAGAGATGCGGTATTGGGAAAGAGAAAGAGGCTTCCATTGGATTAATCTAGTGGGGGCCCAATGATCATTTCAAGGCATCTCTTGTAACTTCAGTAATGTTCAGACTATTTTAAAGCAATCACATTTGTAAGTCCAACAGCACCAAGCCTGACACATAGTAGAATCTCAATAGATATGAATTCTCTTCACAGGGTATAAAATACATCCTGTGTGAAAAAGAAAAAGTAATCCCCAATTGGAAGCTCCATCTGTTCACAGGTAGTACACACCATTATGTAAGTGAGACATCTGGTTTTGTTTAATGTTGTTTGAGGGCCTATAAAACAGGTTGATTCCTAGCTTATAAATCTATAAAAGTGATCAAACTCTGGCCGGCTCCAGAGTGACAAGGTATCACTGAGATAGGAAGAGAATGTGTATTTTCAACACTGTTAGATGTTTTAGAAAGGGTAAAGATTGGGCTGGGTGCGGTGGCTCACACCTGTAATCCTAGCACTTTGGGAGGCCAAGGTGGGTGGATCACCTGAGGTCAGGAGTTCAAGACCAGCCTGGCCATCATCATGAAACCCCATTAAAAAAAAGTGGGGGTGAGGATTTTGTTTTCCCTATTCTAATATCTTGGGAGCTCATCCCACATTTCCTTCAGACTAACCCCACTATTAATACTATAATCACTGGGTGTTTGGTACTGGGGCTAGACAAACATTTTCTAGTGGTGTATTATTTCTAGTGGTACATTATTTCAGGGGAGTGAGGGTGAGGGAAGTAGAAGCTCTGCTTTCCAATCCACAGAGAAAACTGAAGTTCTGTTTACCAAGCAGAATAGATAAAAACAAAATATATAGATAAAGCATAGAATGTAAGGTAAAAAAGAAAATATCAACTAAAATCTTACGGTTTAACTTTTCAAAATATATTTTGTCTGAATGTTTCATCCCTAGATTATTTCCTGGTTGCAAGGGTAAACTGTAACTTTTTAATGGTGACATCTGGCAGTTATTGCTTTAACCACACGACCAAATATAGCATCACCTATAGCAGGGATGCCTAACAATTAGTGCCTCTTGACAGGAGATACATTCACATGCCTATAGTATCACCCATGAAGCATCAGTGGCAAAAACATTTGACCTGAATTCAATTAGGAAAGGACAAAAGAATCTAGAAGGTAGGACATTTTATAAGACATTGGCATGGGCCTGGGATCTTCCAAAAAGTCAAATGCCTTGAGAAACAAAATATTATAGACATATACATATGAAAAATTATAAAATATTTCTGAAAGAGATTAAAGTAGACCTAAATAGAGAAATATGCTTTGTTGATGAGTTGGAAGGTTTAATATTGTTAAGATATCCATTCTCCAAATTATAATATAAATTCAATACCAATCAATTTCTCCACAGGCTTCTTATAGAAACTGACATGTTTAATCTAAAATGTATACAAAAATACAGAAAACCTAGCTAAAACAACTGTGAAGAAAATGGAGGGCTAATATAATCTGATTTCAAGAATTATTATAAGGCTCTATAAATCAAAACAATAGAGTGTAAGAAAAATAGTTCAATAGAATAGAGTCCAGAAGTAAACCCACAAATATGTGAACAACTGGTTTTGGCAAAGGTGGAAGGGCAATACAATGGAGCAAGAGCCTTTTCAAGAAATGATCCTAGGGTGATAGTAATGTCCAAAATAAATAAATAAATACGCACAGACCCATACCTAGTGCCATATATAAAAATCAACATAAAGTAGATTATAGATTTAAACACAAAACCTAAACTATAAAACTTCTAGAATAGAAGAAAATCTTTGTGACATTGGATTAGGCGAAGATTTCTTATGTATCACCTCAAACACACATTTTATACGTGAACACATTGATTAACTGGACTTCATCAAAATTAGAAACTTCTATTTTTCAAAAAATAGTGTTAAGTGAATGAAAAGACAAGATACAGACTAGGAGAAAGTTTTTTGCAAAGCATGTATCTGATAAAGGGCCTATATTCAGAATCAAAACCCTCATATTTTAGCAAGACGCAAACAACCCAATAAAAAGCCGGGCAAAAGATTTGAAGAAATATGTCACTGAAGAAGGTATTACAAATAGCAACAGGAAATTTTCTCAATATCTTTAGTTGTTAGAAAAACAAAAATTAAAATCATAATTGAATTTTCCTACACACCTATTAGAAAGGCTGAAGTTAAAAAAGACCGACCATATCAAATGTTAGAAGGGTTTTGGAGAAACTGAAACTCTCACACACTGCAGGTAAGAATGTAAAATGCTACTATCAGTTTGGAAAATACTTTGGCAGGTTTTTTTAACAAGTTAAACATACACTTACCATATGATCCAGCCATTCCTCTTCCAAGTATTTATTCCCGGCGAATAAAAATGAGTGTTACACGTGAATGTTAGTGACAGTAATTGCCAAAACTGGAAGCAACCCAAATGTCTGTAACAGATGAAAGGAAAAACAAATTGTAGTGTATCCTTGAAATGGAAAACTATCCAGCAATAAAAAGTAATGAAGTATTGATACATGCAATAACATGGTTGAATCTCAGAATGATTATGCTGAATGAAAGATGCCAGACAAAAATAGGAGCTATCATAGGATTTTAATTATATAAAACTCTAGAAAACAAAAACAAATTTGCAGTGAGCAAAAGCAAATTAATCATTGGCTGGGGGTGAGTGAGGTGGAAAGGAGTGAGAGAGAATTACAAAGAGGAATGAAGAAACTTTTGGAGGTGATGCTGATAACTATCTTGACTGTAGTGATGATTTCTCTGGTGTACATCTGTCAAAATGTATCAAATTCTAGTCTTTAAATATGTGCAGTTTATTGGGTACACCTCGACAAATCTGTTTAAAAACCAAAGGCAGGGAGATTGTTCTAAATTATAAGTCTAACAAGACATCACCAAATGCAATGCAGGAACCTTGATTTAAGAAAAATCATACAAGACATTTTTAGAACAAATGGAGAAATTTGACTTTGTATCATGTTAAATGATATAAAATTACAGTTAAATTTCTTAGATGGGATAATGGTACTGTGGTTATGCACAAAAATGTCTATTTCCTTAGGTGATGCATACAGAAATAGTGTGAAATATTATCAAGTACATGACTTTTAGCAAAAAGAATAAAGAGAAAACAATTTTAACAGGAAATGAACAGATGGTAAATCTGCATGAAGAGTATACAGATGTTCTTTGTCCTATGTCAACGTTTCTGAAAAATTTGAAAGTACTCAAAATAAAAATTGGGGGAAAATATATGTATTGTATATGCTTACATGTATGTAGGCACAAAAAGTGAGATGGGGATGTTTCAGTTCATAGTCATGGGAATAGAGAAACAAGTTCTGGGGAAAGGATGTGTCTTTTCTGAGAGATGCTGATGTGGTTTAGTACTTGCTATAAATGTTGTAGGGTGCTCAGTTGATCACTGAGGTAAGTGCTGGAAAGGGAGTTATAGAATAAAATGTATTTAGAATATTCTTGATTTTAATGGGAACCGAGATGCCCATGAGGGTTCTAAGTGACACTCTAATTCTGGCTAAACTCCCAGGGAACAAAATTTCAGGAGATTTATTTGGAAATGCCCTTAGTATCAGCACCAGTGGGCAGAAGGGAAAAATTCAAGACTGGACTGACAGATAATTTAGACTGGGATGCAGACTCAACAGGTGTCAGCTGGCATCCCTCAAGGAGCCCAGAAGCTGCCTTACAGTGCTATCCCACTTGGGACAAGGGACCAAGCCTTTATCTACCAGTATCTCCCAGTCATGATATGCAGGATACCCAGGGGAAGGGGCCATAACCTTAGGCAAGCTGAATCTCTTGAGTCAAGGCAATTCTCAAAGAGAACTATCAGCCAATGAACTTTCCAGCATCTTCATTAATAGATCCCTCAGTCTTCAAGGTGGAAGGTGCAGCACAACGTTCATAACAAACTGCTTCTGTGTTTCTTTCGTATATTGGTAATGCTTTTTATACAAGGCATGCATAAATAATTGCTTATACTTATGACTGACATATCATTTATAAATGTTATATATTATTAACATTATTTCAAAATTCTAATTGTCTTGAGCATGTGTCTTAACTTTCTTCAATTCATGGCATGTTATAGAGACCATAGATTTTATCAAAAATAAATATGTTAGCTCGAGAAAGAAGACATCCTTCTTTTTTATTATTATACTTTAAGTTCTGGGGTACATATGCAGAATTGCAGGTTTGTTACATAAGTATATACGTGCCATAGTGGTTTGCTTCATCCATGCCTGCATCATCTACATTAGATACTTCTCCTAATGTTATCCCTCCCCAAACCCCCAAGCCCCTGCTATTGCTCCCCTAACGCCCCCACCTCCTGACAGGCCCTGGTGTGTGATGTTCCCCTCCCTATGCCCATGTGTTCTCATTGTTCAATACCCACTTATGAGTGAGAACATGCAGTGTTTTGTTTTCTGTTCTTGTGTCAGTGGCTGAGAATGATGGTTTCCAGCTTCATCCATGTCCCTGCAAAGGACACGAACTCATCCTTTTTATGGCTGCATAGTATTTCATGGTGTATATGTGCCACATGTTCTTTATCCAGTCTATCATTGATGGGCATTCGGGTTGGTTCCAAGTCTTTGCTATTGTAAACAGTGCCACAATAAACAAATGTGTGCATGTGTCCTTATAATAGAATGATTTATAATCCTTTCGGTATATGCCCAGTAATGGGATTGCTTGTTCAAAGCGTATTTCTATTTATAGATACTTGAGGAATTGCTACATTGTCTTTTACAATGGTTTAATTAATTTACACTCCCACCAACGGTGTAAAAGTGTTCCTATTTCTCCAAATCCTCTCCAGCATCTGTTGTCTCCAGATTTTTTAATGATCACCATTCTAACTGGCGTGAAATGGTATTTTTAATTTGTATTCATCCTATGACCAGTGATGATGAGCTTTTTTCTTATATTTGTTGGCTGCATGAATGTCTTCTTTTAAAAAAAGTGTCTGTTCATATCCTTCACCCACTTTTTGATGGAGTTGTTTTTTTCTAGTAAATTTGTTAAAGTTATTTGTAGATTCTGGATATTATCCCTTTGTCAGATGGGTAGATTGCAAAAATTTTTTCCTATTCTGTTACTTGCCGGTTCACTCTAATGATAGTTTCTTTTGCTGTAAGAAGCTCTTAAGTTTAATTAAATCCCATTTGTCTATTTTGGCTTTTGTTGCCATCGCTTTTGGTGTTTTAGTCATGAAGTTCTTGCCTATGCCTATGTCCTGAATGGTATATTGCCTAGGTTTTCTTTTAGGGTTTTTATGGTGTTAGGTTTTATGTTTAAATCTTTAATCCATCTTGAGTGTAAGGAATGCGTCCAGTTTCAGCTTTCTGTACACATCTAGCCAGTTTTCCCAACACCATTTATTAAATAGAGAATCCTTTCCCCATTGCTTGTTTTTTTGTCAGATTTATCAAAGAGTCATATGCTTCTGATATTCAAAGGCAAAGTGAAGATAATACATTGGCACATAAGGGTTTATAAACAGCCTTTATATGAATTCCCACAAATATTAAGTAAAAGAGTGAAAACTAGAATTTAGGATTTCTGACACCTGATTCCAGTGGTTTCATCCCTATACCTGGGATATATCTGTTAACCCTATGCCTTAATGCAAACTTTAGTCTTGCCTTTCTGACCGCAGGACAAGGAAAGCTTGTCCTCAAACATCTCCGATGGGTGCAAAGCCTGTGCTACAAGGTTATAGTGAAAGAAACAGAATAGATAATTCATTATTACAAATCCTATAATCACCCAGTCAAACTTTCCAGAATCTACAAGGATGTGTAAAATGGTCATTTCTTTAAGGTTAGAGCCACAATTCCCAACCCAAGATGAGAGTCCTATTTCTTGTGGAGTTCAGTGTTCCTCCCCTAAAGTCAACTCATTCTTTCAATTCTTCAACAGGCCTGGGTCATTTGAGGCCACCCCTCAGGCAGCCACTTTTGTTGTCATTGTATAATTTTTTGTCCTTTCCGTAATTCCCTTGGCTCTACTTCACAGGATTCCACTACTTTTCCTCATTCTGATATAGGTATTTCATGATTCAGATCCATTCTGTATGTCCATAAAGGGGTCAGACTTTTCTCACTGGAGAGCTGGGGCACCTTTCCGAGTATCTCATGCATTATGGCCAAAGTCTCTGCTTTGGAATTGTCTTCTATTTTTATTCCATCTTACATATAAACTAAATAGCTAGAAAATGAAGAGAGACAGGTACTGTTCTACCACAGAAAGAAAATCATGAAGATACTGGGGCAGTCAATGCTTACTTGAAATTCAGATAATTCCAATTCATCTACCTTATGTGACTTAAGCTCCTCCCTCCTGCTCTATGCCTAGTTTTCTTAGTCTACTCTTGACCCTCTCAAATTAGTAAATTTCATAGTACCACACATCAGCAGAACCATCAGGTACTGCAACTTCTTCATGCTTCACACATTTCCATTTAATTTATATATTATTTACTTTTCATTCTGCCTGCTCAAGCACATCTTTTATCATTTGGGACATCTGCCTGGGTGTGTTTGCACCATTGGTGGAAAAGATAGTAACGCATTCTCTTGACAAAAAGTTGTATTTGTTAAGGGAATTGGACACGGTTTCAAATGCATATGGAGAATGTTTGCCCATGATTCTTAACAGGAAATAAGAATTTAAATATAAACCACACACACACACAAATAGGTACTCTATGGTAAAGAATCAGAATTTTCTGTCAGTTCCCTTTAGAAATACTTAGAGGTCTTTGTTTTTCTAAGTACTGGCAATTAAAGCTATGGGGAATGAAAAATTAAACAGTTTTATAATTTAATATTTTATTAAACAGGCATTTTAGTTGAAAGTGAATATCTATGTAGTAGAATGAGCTTTAGAATCCCAAAGACCTCAACTTTCTTCTTAGCTTTGCTCCTGGTTACTGTGTCTCTGCCCAAGTCATGTCACCTCTCTACAAACTTAGGGTTTTGAAAGTATATTCTCTATGTATATTCATTTTAAGACTCTAGATCTACCCATTACATAGTTACACCTCAAAAAGAGGGTTGGTTTTAGTCATTAAGACTTTTTTATGCGTACCGTATTTTGGAATTATTATGCTCTTTATTTATTCAAAAATTATTTTTTGAAGGCTTCATTTTTGATAGGTGTATCCCTGGTCACCTCAGAGTTTAAATTCTAGAAGTTTAGAAATATTTAATATTTCTAGAGTTTAAATTTAATTTCTCTAGATAACTGAACCTATGACTGCAATGAAAATTACTGGCGATTATATACACTGTGAATGAAAAGAGCAGGCTGCTCTTAGGGAACATCATGGAAGGAGAAAATTCAAATTGGTGGGGTGGCATGTGGTCATTCAAGTTACATTTCTTCATCAGAG